AAGTTCTTTTTTTCAATTTGTACAAACCGTGACTTCATTCCTGGTTTGACTTCAACTTGCTTGTCACAGGAGGAAACAACTCTTATGGTCACATTTCCTGGATAATTCTCCTTGATCAAGAAGTTATTCACTCTTTTCTCAATGAGATCACCAAGTTTGGTTGTTGGCAGTTCTAAGTGGGGAAAATATGTGAAAATTATTAGTGGGGTTTCCCAGAAACCATGACCTTATCATCATCATTATTTTGTATTTTAAGAGAGACATTCCTACTTAATGGACACCTCTTACTACCCGCAGCTGATACCACTTGACATTTTTCTTGGTCCTGGTTTAAGTTCTAAAACATATTGTCACAAATTAAATCGCTCAATACAGACAAATGAGCAATTTAACAAATTCTTAATGTCTAAAGCCTTTAGTCAAGCTGCAACAGATTATATAATAAGTTTCATTACACGAAAACTATCAACCTTCTAGTGACTTTATTTTATAAACGTCTCTTGGGGATCGCATACGTCTACTTACTTTATTCCCCTTACAAAGGGTATTTAGGATCCACGAAGCATTTATTTAAGAGGGTTTCACTACATTTAATGTACTATTCCTTTTGTAAATCTGGGAATGGCAGCTTAAAGGGACAGGTTCACGGTTCAGCGCATGCTCATAAATTAAATTAAGTTTCTCCAATTTATTATTAATTCTGTTGGTTAATAATCCCACTCACATGCATCTCAGCAATCTCAGAGTGTATTTCAAAGTAGAGGTGTATTTCAGAGTAACCTGAGGTGGGATGGAGGAGTACTAAAATCGCAAATTAGTGGATTATGCCAACACTACCAACGTTGAATTTATTGCTGACCCGAAGGTTTTATTCCATAGTCGATTAATTTACAGCTAATTGCACCTAAGTTGATAAAGCCATTCCTCAGCTTCTAATAAAAGCAAAAACAAACTTACATAGTGAACACTGAAAAGTGCACTTACTCTTTGCAGTAAACCGGTTTTCTTTCCTCTTCATCCCCCTCCTTTTCAAACATCCATCACACTGATATCTGCAATAGGCAGTAAATTACATACCAAAAGTTAGCAGCTTGTAAAGTATTTGTATTCTCAGTCTGCAAACGCAGAAACCACGGGGGCAAAGTCAGGTGTCTGAAATTACAGAGCTGCCCATATTATAGAAGTAGTGTAACTCTGACACCAAAAACAACCATGCATAACCCTTTAAGTTCCAATAGTGACCAACAGCAATTTTCTCCTAACAATGTCCCTACATTGTCAAGAGATAAGGTTGTGAGAATATAAAAATGATCACGAAAGAGAAAATGCCTCGATGTTTTATTAAATTCTCTCAACTAATTCTTAAAGGAAATGTATGGAGATCAGTTTGGAGAATTTGTATGGGGATACTGGGGCTTAAAGGGATAATAGAGACAAACCTGCGTTCTACAAAGTTTAGAAAAGAGAAAAAACAAGCCCAGATTTATTAGCTTTGGCTAACTGGGTCACGGCCCACTCTATAGAAAACTGTCTGCTCCAGTGACATTAATTTTACTAACTACCTTTTTCATAAAAAATATTACAAAATAACTCACAAAATGAGGACAATCTCAAGCTGCACTCTACTCACCCTTGTGGCCAAATGTAATCATGATGGCGTACACAGATTTGATGGACTTTTCGTCCACAATCCATACAATCCACAAATCTGCAAGAGACAATCAAAAGGTGTTAGGTACAAGATCAATTTATAAGACAATTCACTGACTTGTCATGACAACAAAACCACCATTTTAACTTTATCATTTCTTTTCATAGATCTTCTGTTACAGTAAGTTGAACTGACTTTCATTCAGCTCACATCCACACCATCGACTGCAGCTGCTGTTCAGATAGACTACTTATTACAAGACTGTGCTCAAAGAAAAACTGTGGGAGGCCTAAAGGCTCTGGCCAATGAAATCCAGTGTGCCAAGACCCAGAAATACAGCATTTCCACATGAGGTATCAGCAATCACATAAATATTTCAAAACTATGAATATGCTGGCAAGATATGATATGGCACCAAGCCAATCCTGTAGGAGTTGAACTTTTTAATGCAAGCACTTTCTATTTTTCCAATAAATTGCATACACACTGGTAATGTGAGTGAGAAACAAAAACTGTTAAGATTTCCTCGTTGTCCAAGAGGGTCAATTTGCAAGAAGACATGCCAGGTACTACTAGATCACAGAGGTGGGAGATGTAATCACAAAAATTGAGGATACTTACGGCTCCATGTCAAGATGATCATTTTTGTTCTTACCAAAGTCTCGTTTAGGAACCGGGCTGAAATAAGAATTAAAACATTAGTATGAGAGTGGACCACAGACCACAGCTGTCAGTCTCTGTCACACATCTTACACTTTTAGCCTCGTTTTTCAGTAACAATACACTATGTGCATATTCTTTTAATTCACTGTTATCTAAACTTCCTCAACAGCTTAAAATAACTATAGATAACATGACATGTCATTACACCTTTCTTAATCACTACCAAAAGTGTGCAAAGAAAGTGGTGTCCAATAGCCTGGGGCCCAAGTTTTACCTTTGCATCAGAGGGTCCTCCCCAAGATTGACTTGATCACCAGGAATCTCATCAAAGCATCTCTCACAATAGTGATACCTGTAAACAAATGATCAACAAATACAGCAATGCATGGTAACTAATATAAATGAAAAACTAAGTGACAGGTAAAAATATTCTACTCTGATAGCAATGTAGAATGGTCTAAAATGTAGACACCCCCTGATGAGTGTAAAAATAAAAAGAAATGAAGGTAATTTGGCAGAGGCATATCCCTGAAGTAGCTCTTCTTCTACCATATTCCAGATTTAAGTGAAATTTTTGAAATGATAGCTTATAAGGAGAGAGAAAAACTGGATGTGCCTGGGAAAAACTCCTTGGAGCAAAGTAAAGAGCCAATAACAAACTCAACCCACATATGGTGTCACTGGAATTTAAACCTGGGAGAAAATGGTGAGAGGCAAGTGACCATGCCACTGCGCTCCTCTTACTCCCATAAATCCTTTCAGTGTCAAGAGTTATCCACATCAATCTTCTCCTTACAATATCAATACATGGTCAAGATCAAAGGTAAGGACAATTAAGATCATGATCAAGATCAAAGGTAAGGGCAATTAAGATAATGATCAACTCAGGAAAATTATTTTATCTTTTTTTAAAAGAAATGTATGGAGAAAGGTCTGGAGCGTTTGTATGTGTATAAAGGGACTTGAATGATTAAGAAAAAGCAGTGCTGTCAATAGCATTGCCATAAGAAGACTGCTGATAACGTCAAGTATCTACCATGTAATAGTGCACAGAAATGAATAAAATCATACCGGTTTTGATAAGTCCAGTAAAAGGCATCTCTTGGAATAGTACACAAGTGCTTCCCATAGCAACAGAGCACTTGAGGATTAAATATATACTGAAAACGACAAGAAGTAATACATCAGTCTTCTGCAGCAATAAGCCAATAAAGTTTTAAAACAAAACACAAAAATGCCATGGCAGCATCTTTACCTTTCTTCCACAACAATAACCTAAACTTTTCATTACAGGATCAATTTCTTGTTCAAAGACCTCAGACAGCTGTGGGTAAAGAAGGATGCAAAAAATTAATATCTCTATTTAACTCTAACTGTTATCTAATCAATATTGAAGTCTTTTGGGAAGCACATCCACAGAAACAAGTTTTACCTTTGTACAATATTTATATACTCTTGAGGTTTTCCTATTATACAACCACGCATTATCAAACATGAGCCAGACATCGTCACAGTACTGCAACAAAGGAACATAACGTTAGCAAATACTCTTCACTTCTCTTACCAAAACTAGTAATGAGAACACAAATGAACCAATGAGCAAGTGTCCCTTTCACTTTCATTCATGCAAGGCAAACTAAGGATCTTTGAACCACAGTGGGAACCAAGCCAATGACCTACGGACAAGTTCTTCTATTACCCTAAAATGATGTTAAGCTACGAGACCAAATAGGGCTGGCTCATTTAGGTGGTAAGTCAAGGAAAAGAGTTTCAATTAAGCAATAGAAAACACTTTCCGTGTTTGTATAGCCCGATATAAACACAAGAGGGGTTGGGAGAATTCAAGACAGTTATGAAAACTTGAGACAAAGTTGAGGTTTGCAAAACAAATCCAGGAAAAAAGTTTTCTATTGCATTTATAAACTTTCCCCAGAAAAAACGCAAAATTCTTTTTCATGGCACTGATTAAAAGAGAAATTCTTACCAGTCTGAAGTCTTGTAGACGAAGTCTTGCATGCATTATCAGTTCTCGTTTTGCAAAAAAGATACTTTCCAAAATACCGATTTTTCTCACTTAAAATGTCAGCTTGAGTGACAAAAAGTTGACACAGCATGTTTGTAAAGATTTTCCAAGTTTCAGCTGACCAGGGCAATCAGAGCGCGTGTACTATCTCAGTTATTTTATAAAGTGTTATGCACCACAACATTCATTTTTACCCTTTACAGCGTTCACAAAAGACAAAATGCACAGTTCATACTGACCTCCCAGGGATTATTGTATTGTCCAGCATCCAGTTTTCTTTTAATTGTAGAGAGATCCATAGGTTGTTTCACTATGTCAAAGTAATCCTGAAAAATTCCAAGCATGTCTCTTCATAAACCGTAAAATTCCAAAAATAAGCCCCTCCATGTATAAGCCCCTCCAAACATAAGCCCCCCAATCCGGTAATGGAAAAAACCCTCAGTTAAATCGCCCCTTCAAATATAAGCCCCCCCGGGGCTTGTACTTGGAAAAGAGTGCCCTCAAATACAAAGTAAAACAAAGCAAAAGCCGCAAATTTACTGCCAACTATAAGGCTAGCCCAATCGATTTTGAAACGCAAATTTCCTTCTGTAGATAAGCCCCTCCTAATATAAGTCCCTCCAAAAATAAGCCACTCAAAAAGGGCCTTTGAAAAATATAAGCCCCAGGGCTTATTTTCAGAATTTTATGGTATCTAACATTACAAAATTAATGGTACCATGCAAAGCACTTTCAAAGAGGTTTCATAAGGTCCATGACACTGTCAGATGCTGTTTACAGATGTTTAATTAAGAAATATTTTACATGTTTTCATGACTGATTTTTGTGGAGGCATGTGTGGCCGGGTGGTTAACACCTTGAACTCTGAAATTTGGAGGTATGGGGCTCAAGCCTCACCCATCAGGTTGTTTCCTTAGTCAAGGAACTCTACTCCAAATTGTCTCTCTTCACCCAGGTGTATAAATGGGTAACCGCAACACAATGCTTGGGGGGTGACCCCACAATACTGGGGGGAGTAGCAATACTCCTAGGCATGATCCATTCTAAGGAAACCAGGATAAGCTACAGCCATTTGGGCCTTTGGCTTGTGTGCGTCTTTACCTTTTCATGACTGACTTTGGGATTGGGAGGGTTAACAAAAGTAAATCTGAGACAAAATAAAACAGAAAAATACACACACAAAAATAAACTTAAAAATAAGCTTACCAAACAACCAAGTAGCTTTGGATCAACAGGTTGCCTGAAGGGAAGGGATTCTGGTTCCTGTTTGTATAAGTTTTCCAAAGTGGGCACGAGTGCCTGCCGTAATTCCTCTGGCAGAAAAACTATGACACAAAGTCAACATGCAAAAATTATAAGCAACTTTAAAAAAAAACCCTGAGCTGCAGCTAACATATTATATTATTGTATTAACTCTTAATTTTTTTAAACGATTTGTGGAGGTATATTCCTGAAAATGGGCAAACATAGTGATTTTTGAGTTAATTTCTTCCAAGTAGTAGATGCATGACGAATTTTACGGTTTAACAGAAAAACTGGAAAATATTTTAAAGAGTTTATATGGTTTGGGGGGATGCTGTCACAAAATTACAGACGTTTGTACGGATCTTTAACCATGTTTCAAGAGTCATTACTTGATCCCTGCTCAACTTTAGAGCACCAAACTTGGTCAAATAAACAATCTCAACATGACCTTTTATATGGTGGTGTCAGGTAACTGATTAGTTTAAATTTGAAACTCACCCCAGACCCCTGCCCAACTGCAAAATGGCCAATCATTACTGAGAAAGTTCACCCCTGCAACAACTTGGTTAGGCAGAGGTATAATTCATGAGTGAAAATGTCTGCCTATTGCATGGAAATGCAGCAATCAAGCATTTTCTTGCTGCTATTTTTAGTTAAAGTACAAACAGGCTATGTAGAGGTTTGCATATTTCTCCCAAACTGCAACGTGCTCAGGCCTACCCCAGAACAGCAGGCCTGGATTTGATTCCTTGCCAGATCAGCAGTGAGGGTTTTAAAATAACTGAGAAGAGCATGCAGGGGTTTCAGTAAAAATTGAAGTAGCCAGCAGGTTTCAAAAGAATATCTGACTGTATCAACAAGGGGCCATTAGTCCCCTTATTCTAGTAGGGTCTGAGCATGTGCTTCTCCAGAATATTTTGAAATTTCAAGGCCCTAAAATGCAATTTCCAGTGTTCTGGGCAATAAATTGAGGACAACAGAGTGTGTTTTTCATTCAAAAAATGTAGCTTCATGAATTGTCGGATTGGGTAGGGAGAGAACCTTGCATGGGACTTGCGAGTTCTGTTTGTGCCCGACCCCATTGCTGTAAAAGCTGGGAAAGGAAAAACACTGTGTTGTGTGCTAACCTAGCAAGTACAAATATTGCAGGCAAAATCCATTATCAGGTTAGCCATAATTTCCTCTATGTCTTATGAAGGAGACCAGTCGTTTCACCAACAAGTCATTTCGCTAACATTCCATCTGCTAACGTCTTATGTCGTTCCACTAAGAAGCGAAACGAGCGCTGTGCATGTATATGCTTCATTCTCTCAGCCATGATACAAAAAAGTGGGATATGCATGTATATAACTCGTTCTTTTAGCCACTGATCAGGTGAAAGCAGTTAGGGAACTCACCCAACATGTACGACTCGTAGGCGAAACGACCGTGAACCCTTATGAATAATTAGGACTATGAATCTCACTGACTCTGTTTCAAAGCAAGGCTAAGTGCCAAGCCACTGATATGAAAATGATTTTTATTGTCATACAAATAAAACTCATTTTTACAAGAGAGTTCTTCAATAAGTCTTGTTTTGAAAGTGACAGTATTTGGAACTTGGAAATGGCCTACTAAGTTGGATACTAGCTTAACCTGAGAAGGATATTACTTTTAACACAGACAACCTCCCCTTCTTATCCAAACCAAACTCAGCTCTTACCTTTTTTGAGTGGATATCTCACAGGTGTCTGAAATTACAGAGCTGCCCATATTATAGAAGTAGTGTAACTCTGACACCAAAAACAACCATGCATAACCCTTTAAGTTCCAATAGTGACCAACAGCAAGTTTCTCCTAACAATGTCCCTACATTGTCAAGAGATAAGGTTGTGAGAATATAAAAAATGATCACGAAAGAGAAAATGCCTTGATGTTTATTAAATTCTCTCAACTAATTCTTAAAGGAAATGTATGGAGATCAGTTTGGAGAATTTGTATGTGGATACTGGGGCTTAAAGGGATAATAGAGACAAACCTGCATTCTACAAAGTTTAGAAAAGAGAAAAAACAAGCCCAGATTTATTAGCTTTGGCTAACTGGGCCACGGCCCACTCTATAGAAAACTGTCTGCTCCAGTGACATTAATTTTACTAACTACCTTTTTCATAAAAAATATTACAAAATAACTCACAAAATGAGGACAATCTCAAACTGCACACTACTCACCCTTGTGGCCAAATGTAATCATGATGGCGTACACAGATTTGATGGACTTTTCGTCCACAATCCATACAATCCACAAATCTGCAAGAGACAATCAAAAGGTGTTAGGTACAAGATCAATTTATAAGACAATTCACTGACTTGTCATGACAACAAAACCACCATTTTAACTTTATCATTTCTTTTCATAGATCTTCTGTTACAGTAAGTTGAACTGACTTTCATTCAGCTCACATCCACACCATCGACTGCAGCTGCTGTTCAGATAGACTACTTATTACAAGACTGTGCTCAAAGAAAAACTGTGGGAGGCCTAAAGGCTCTGGCCAATGAAATCCAGTGTGCCAAGACCCAGAAATACAGCATTTCCACATGAGGTATCAGCAATCACATAAATATTTCAAAACTATGAATATGCTGGCAAGATATGATATGGCACCAAGCCAATCCTGTAGGAGTTGAACTTTTTAATGCAAGCACTTTCTATTTTTCCAATAAATTGCATACACACTGGTAATGTGAGTGAGAAACAAAAACTGTTAAGATTTCCTCGTTGTCCAAGAGGGTCAATTTGCAAGAAGACATGCCAGGTACTACTAGATCACAGAGGTGGGAGATGTAATCACAAAAATTGAGGATACTTACGGCTCCATGTCAAGATGATCATTTTTGTTCTTACCAAAGTCTCGTTTAGGAACCGGGCTGAAATAAGAATTAAAACATTAGTATGAGAGTGGACCACAGACCACAGCTGTCAGTCTCTGTCACACATCTTACACTTTTAGCCTCGTTTTTCAGTAACAATACACTATGTGCATATTCTTTTAATTCACTGTTATCTAAACTTCCTCAACAGCTTAAAATAACTATAGATAACATGACATGTCATTACACCTTTCTTAATCACTACCAAAAGTGTGCAAAGAAAGTGGTGTCCAATAGCCTGGGGCCCAAGTTTTACCTTTGCATCAGAGGGTCCTCCCCAAGATTGACTTGATCACCAGGAATCTCATCAAAGCATCTCTCACAATAGTGATACCTGTAAACAAATGATCAACAAATACAGCAATGCATGGTAACTAATATAAATGAAAAACTAAGTGACAGGTAAAAATATTCTACTCTGATAGCAATGTAGAATGGTCTAAAATGTAGACACCCCCTGATGAGTGTAAAAATAAAAAGAAATGAAGGTAATTTAGCAGAGGCATATCCCTGAAGTAGCTCTTCTTCTACCATATTCCAGATTTAAGTGAAATTTTTGAAATGATAGCTTATAAGGAGAGAGAAAAACTGGATGTCCCTGGGAAAAACTCCTTGGAGCTAAGTAAAGAGCCAATAACAAACTCAACCCACATATGGTGTCACTGGAATTTAAACCTGGGAGAAAATAGTGACAGGCAAGTGACCATGCCACTGCGCTCCTCTTACTCCCATAAATCCTTTCAGTGTCAAGAGTTATCCACATCAATCTTCTCCTTACAATATCAATACATGGTCAAGATCAAAGGTAAGGACAATTAAGATCATGATCAAGATCAAAGGTAAGGGCAATTAAGATAATGATCAACTCAGGAAAATTATTTTATCTTTTTTTAAAAGAAATGTATGGAGAAAGGTCTGGAGCGTTTGTATGTGTATAAAGGGACTTGAATGATTAAGAAAAAGCAGTGCTGTCAATAGCATTGCCATAAGAAGACTGCTGATAACGTCAAGTATCTACCATGTAATAGTGCACAGAAATGAATAAAATCATACCGGTTTTGATAAGTCCAGTAAAAGGCATCTCTTGGAATAGTACACAAGTGCTTCCCATAGCAACAGAGCACTTGAGGATTAAATATATACTGAAAACGACAAGAAGTAATACATCAGTCTTCTGCAGCAATAAGCCAATAAAGTTTTAAAACAAAACACAAAAATGCCATGGCAGCATCTTTACCTTTCTTCCACAACAATAACCTAAACTTTTCATTACAGGATCAATTTCTTGTTCAAAGACCTCAGACAGCTGTGGGTAAAGAAGGATGCAAAAAATTAATATCTCTATTTAACTCTAACTGTTATCTAATCAATATTGAAGTCTTTTGGGAAGCACATCCACAGAAACAAGTTTTACCTTTGTACAATATTTATATACTCTTGAGGTTTTCCTATTATACAACCACGCATTATCAAACATGAGCCAGACATCGTCACAGTACTGCAACAAAGGAACATAACGTTAGCAAATACTCTTCACTTCTCTTACCAAAACTAGTAATGAGAACACAAATGAACCAATGAGCAAGTGTCCCTTTCACTTTCATTCATGCAAGGCAAACTAAGGATCTTTGAACCACAGTGGGAACCAAGCCAATGACCTACGGACAAGTTCTTCTATTACCCTAAAATGATGTTAAGCTACGAGACCAAATAGGGCTGGCTCATTTAGGTGGTAAGTCAAGGAAAAGAGTTTCAATTAAGCAATAGAAAACACTTTCCGTGTTTGTATAGCCCGATATAAACACAAGAGGGGTTGGGAGAATTCAAGACAGTTATGAAAACTTGAGACAAAGTTGAGGTTTGCAAAACAAATCCAGGAAAAAAGTTTTCTATTGCATTTATAAACTTTCCCCAGAAAAAACGCAAAATTCTTTTTCATGGCACTGATTAAAAGAGAAATTCTTACCAGTCTGAAGTCTTGTAGACGAAGTCTTGCATGCATTATCAGTTCTCGTTTTGCAAAAAAGATACTTTCCAAAATACCGATTTTTCTCACTTAAAATGTCAGCTTGAGTGACAAAAAGTTGACACAGCATGTTTGTAAAGATTTTCCAAGTTTCAGCTGACCAGGGCAATCAGAGCGCGTGTACTATCTCAGTTATTTTATAAAGTGTTATGCACCACAACATTCATTTTTACCCTTTACAGCGTTCACAAAAGACAAAATGCACAGTTCATACTGACCTCCCAGGGATTATTGTATTGTCCAGCATCCAGTTTTCTTTTAATTGTAGAGAGATCCATAGGTTGTTTCACTATGTCAAAGTAATCCTGAAAAATTCCAAGCATGTCTCTTCATAAACCGTAAAATTCCAAAAATAAGCCCCTCCATGTATAAGCCCCTCCAAACATAAGCCCCCCAATCCGGTAATGGAAAAAACCCTCAGTTAAATCGCCCCTTCAAATATAAGCCCCCCCGGGGCTTGTACTTGGAAAAGAGTGCCCTCAAATACAAAGTAAAACAAAGCAAAAGCCGCAAATTTACTGCCAACTATAAGGCTAGCCCAATCGATTTTGAAACGCAAATTTCCTTCTGTAGATAAGCCCTTCCTAATATAAGTCCCTCCAAAAATAAGCCACTCAAAAAGGGCCTTTGAAAAATATAAGCCCCAGGGCTTATTTTCGGGATTTTACGGTATCTAACATTACAAAATTAATGGTACCATGCAAAGCACTTTCAAAGAGGTTTCATAAGGTCCATGACACTGTAAGATGCTGTTTACAGATGTTTAATTAAGAAATATTTTACATGTTTTCATGACTGATTTTTGTGGAGGCATGTGTGGCCGGGTGGTTAACACCTTGAACTCTGAAATTTGGAGGTATGGGGCTCAAGCTTCACCCATCACGTTGTTTCCTTAGTCAAGGAACTCTACTCCAAATTGTCTCTCTTCACCCAGGTGTATAAATGGGTAACCGCAACACAATGCTTGGGGGGTGACCCCACAATACTGGGGGGAGTAGCAATACTCCTAGGCATGATCCATTCTAAGGAAACCAGGATAAGCTACAGCCATTTGGGCCTTTGGCTCGTGTGCGCCTTTACCTTTTCATGACTGACTTTGGGATTGGGAGGGTTAACAAAAGTAAATCTGAGACAAAATAAAACAGAAAAATACACACACAAAAATAAACTTAAAAATAAGCTTACCAAACAACCAAGTAGCTTTGGATCAACAGGTTGCCTGAAGGGAAGGGATTCTGGTTCCTGTTTGTATAAGTTTTCCAAAGTGGGCACGAGTGCCTGCCGTAATTCCTCTGGCAGAAAAACTATGACACAAAGTCAACATGCAAAAATTATAAGCAACTTTAAAAAAAAACCCTGAGCTGCAGCTAACATATTATATTATTGTATTAACTCTTAATTTTTTTAAACGATTTGTGGAGGTATATTCCTGAAAATGGGCAAACATAGTGATTTTTGAGTTAATTTCTTCCAAGTAGTAGATGCATGACGAATTTTACGGTTTAACAGAAAAACTGGAAAATATTTTAAAGAGTTTATATGGTTTGGGGGGATGCTGTCACAAAATTACAGACGTTTGTACGGATCTTTAACCATGTTTCAAGAGTCATTACTTGATCCCTGCTCAACTTTAGAGCACCAAACTTGGTCAAATAAACAATCTCAACATGACCTTTTATATGGTGGTGTCAGGTAACTGATTAGTTTAAATTTGAAACTCACCCCAGACCCCTGCCCAACTGCAAAATGGCCAATCATTACTGAGAAAGTTCACCCCTGCAACAACTTGGTTAGGCAGAGGTATAATTCATGAGTGAAAATGTCTGCCTATTGCATGGAAATGCAGCAATCAAGCATTTTCTTGCTGCTATTTTTAGTTAAAGTACAAACAGGCTATGTAGAGGTTTGCATATTTCTCCCAAACTGCAACGTGCTCAGGCCTACCCCAGAACAGCAGGCCTGGATTTGATTCCTTGCCAGATCAGCAGTGAGGGTTTTAAAATAACTGAGAAGAGCATGCAAGGGTTTCAGTAAAAATTGAAGTAGCCAGCAGGTTTCAAAACAATCTCTGACTGTATCAACAAGGGGCCATTAGTCCCCTTATTCTAGTGGGGTCTGAGCATGTGCTTCTCCAGAATATTTTGAAATTTCAAGGCCCTAAAATGCAATTTCCAGTGTTCTGGGCAATAAATTGAGGACAACAGAGTGTGTTTTTCATTCAAAAAATGTAGCTTCATGAATTGTTGGATTGGGTAGGGAGAGAACCTTGCATGGGACTTGCGAGTTCTGTTTGTGCCCGACCCCATTGCTGTGAAAGCTGGGAAAAGAAAAACACTGTGTTGTGTGCTAACCTAGCAAGTACAAATATTGCGGGCAAAATCCATTATCAGGTTAGCCATAATTTCTGCTATGTCTTATGAAGGAGACCAGTCGTTTCACCAACAAGTCATTTCGCTAACATTCCATCTGCTAATGTCTTATGTCGTTCCACTAAGAAGCGAAACGAGCGCTGTGCATGTACATGCTTCATTCTCTCAGCCATGATACAAAAAAGTGGGATATGCATGTATATAACTTGTTCTTTTAGCCACTGATCAGGTGAAAGCAGTTAGGGAACTCACCCAACATGTACGACTCGTAGGCGAAACGACCGTGAACCCTTATGAATAATTAGGACTATGAATCTCACTGACTCTGTTTCAAAGCAAGGCTAAGTGCCAAGCCACTGATATGAAAATGATTTTTATTGTCATACAAATAAAACTCATTTTTACAAGAGAGTTCTTCAATAAGTCTTGTTTTGAAAGTGACAGTATTTGGAACTTGGAAATGGCCTACTAAGTTGGATACTAGCTTAACCTGAGAAGGATATTACTTTTAACACAGACAACCTCCCCTTCTTATCCAAACCAAACTCAGCTCTTACCTTTTTTGAGTGGATATCTCATTGTACCTGGTGCAGGAATTGATGACGATGAAGAAGACAGGGAAGTGGAAGCCGCAGGTGCTGCAGGTTTTATTGAACAAGTTTGCGCTGCTGGAGATGTATGAGGTTCTTGTTTCATCTGGGGTGTATTGGTACCACTTTGAGCGGGAGATCTGGCTGGCACTGAACTGGGGCCACTGTCTTGAGACTGAATTCAACAATGAAAGCAGTGTTTAGGCCCAGTTGTTCATACATCAGACTTTTCATGTACTGAAATTAATACCTACTTAGGTCCACCAAAATGATACAAGTTGGACGGTTGATTCAGAGGTCAAGCTTCATTAGTTGGACTCAACTCATGTTCAAGATGTGCAATGGTCTACATTTCTTACCAGTGAAAATATATTATAGTAATTTATGCATAAAGTTCAGCACATGAAAAGATTGATGTTTGAAATGAAGTTGTTCCACAATCGAAATTCCAATGTAGGCGACTCAAACTTAATTCATTGATAGAGCCAAATTAGATATGTCAGACTTAATTGATTCCAACACCAATGTTTTTGTTTGCTTAATTGAAGGGATTAGGTTTGATACACAAAAAGTTCGTTTTGGGGCAACATTTTTAATAAACTGAACTAATAACACTGTTTTCACGTTAAAAATTATCTTTTCACAATTTTGCAACCAACCACCACCCTATCCAATCTAACTTAAGCAATCTTCAAGTGTTTATTTCAAAAAGAGCAATTCAAAAAACAATTTGGAGAGCAAGAATAATTTATAATTTCATTAGGAATAGTTAGTGCATACCTTGATTTGTCCTCCCTGTGGTTGGGAAGGAGGAGGAGGTGTGGCAGGTTCGGTTTTGATTATTGCCATTTGAGACTGTAAAGTAGGTTTACTTTCAGTAGCGGAAACATATCCACTTGAATTTGACAGATCCCCCTGTGATGCAGGTGAATGTTCCTGGGTATTTACATTCCCAAGGTTTTTGCCACTTTCTCGGGGTGGAGTTTTTCCTTGGGAATGAGGAGGTGTCATCATCTGCCCTGATGGGGACATCTGGTTGGGTACTTGTTGTTTCGTAGTTTGAGTTTGTGGACCTGCAGGTGATGGAACTGCCATCTGCAGACGCGGTGACATATGACCCTGAAGAGGTGGTGAAGTCATTGAAGATACTTGGGCTGGGTTATTTTGAGACTGCATGGTTGTAGCTGGAGACACATCGAACGAGGGTTGTCTGTGCTGTTGGGCAGCAGCAACTGCTGCCGCTTGTGCTTGAGCTGCTGCTGCTGCTGTGGGGATCTGAGAGTTGGCCACATCTCCATTAAACTGGGCAAATGACACTACATGAAAAAGACGTCAAAAGAAAACGGTTAAAGGTTTGTTTATAGTGGAAAGTGCACTTAGGGTATCCAGCTAGTTTACAGGCACTCCACCCAAATATTCCTGAAACAAATAGGGCAAACAGAACATAACAGGATTAAAAACCCCAACTGGCAAGAGGCAACCAGTTGGCTGAGGACTTAAGACTCGGAACGACTGAGAAAAAATCCAGCAAGTGGCGAGAGCGGGACTCAAACCTGGGACCATCTGATTGCGAGTCCAATGCAGTGACCACTCAGGCATGCTGCCTCTTTAGCAGCACAAATAACAACTGATAACAGGCACAAATAAGCAAAATATCATCCACCAATTTATTCACTGCTAACTGAAGCCTTTTTTCCACAGCCATTAAGCAGATGGCCAAAAAAGGAAAGCAGAAAGTCACTAGTCCTACTGACTGTTACTAAACCATTAGTACTTACGTCTTGTCTCACCCTGAATTTGATGAAGAAGTATGATAATTTTTCTTATAAAGTGTTAACTAAATGGTCACTTCAAGAACATAAAAATAAAGGACAAGTCCAGCTGGACTGTGTGACTGTTTACAAGAGCTTTTCAAGTCACAGTCTAAACAGTGCTTCACAATGCTGGCCAGTCACTAACATGGGTGGTCACAAATTCTCCAAATGCATCAAGGCCAATGAATATTTGCTTGAGCATATTCAATTCAATTCTTTATTTTTACACTATACAAGGCATTTGCACATGTTATATACGAGTAAAAGGAAAAAAATCAGTAATAAGTAATCATTAGGCTAAGAAGATATAATGTACATATGTGTGCAGTGACCAAAAGAGCATCACATTCAGATAAATGGCAGCAGAAAAGAAGAGAAAAAAAATGCAACTTACATCAGAGATGCAGCATGCAATGTAGAAGATCAAGTTTGACTGATTAATTTTAAGAACTAAGACTAATTTACACAACTTAAAACTTAAACCTTCGTAAGTTTTCCAATACTCCAGTGACAGCTTTCGACAACTAGACATGCCTATTACAAGACACCTCAGACTCATTAATTGAATAAAAATACGATTCTTGAATCAAGGACTGCTATGGATTTTCAATTCTTTAACTTAAAAGTGCAATGTTAAAATGAGAGAATGATGAACTCAATAGTTAACTTATCAACTTCCAAAAAGTTTGAAGTCATTGTATTTGTCCTGAGAACGCTCAATCGCCTTTCACTGTACGCATTTCAGTTCAAATTATAACACAGTGATTTTACAATCTTGGATTATCATTAAAGTTATTTTTGACATTTCTCGTACCTTGCCCTCCCCCAATGGGATTCACTCTCATCTGCTGATGCAGTCTTCGTTGACGTTTTTCCTCTAGTTCTTTTTGAATTTTATAGATTTTCTCAGCTAACAGATGATAATATTCCTCCTGTGTAATTTATAAGCAAAGTGTTTAGCTTCTTGTCTACATGTACATCTTATGATCTACTTACAATAATTAACACAAACTGCTGAGAATGACACAATTTACACCAATTTGCTCAAACTGCTTTGAACGAAACTAAATTTTTTGAAACTCTGCAACTCTAGCATAGTCTTTAACATGATTGCTTTGATTACTAAAAACATCTAGCGGTCTGTGCAATAAAACTGTAGTCCTTATGTGGACCCAGCTTTAAGACAGCATAGAAGTATATACCAATGTTTGTTGCCATGACAATCATCAGCGAAATGTTTGCAAATGATCACTGAACTTTCTTTTCAGTGATCTAATGATCACAGCAATCAAAAGGGAACAAGCCTTTAGATGCACTTCATTCACCATAACTATTAAGGTTATGAGCAAGTCTACAAGGTATGTATTAATTCAACTTACCCTACTATTTGCCGTCTCATACATATCCCCTTCTACCTTACGTGCATATGAAACAAGATTCCCCATGCGCCGATCTCTCAGGGCAGCTGGATCGTGCACCGGAGTTGGGAAGATTGCTGTCACACTACAACAACAAAAACAATTTTGGTATAATACTTTCTGATAATTAGCAGTTGTTGCAACAGTACACATAGTGAGAGCAAATTAAAGAATAGGCATGCCTAGAGTTATGGCTTTTGGCTTCATCTCATCCAGAATTAAAATGATAATACCAGTGGGCTGTTACAAAAAGTTGGGGGCTGTAGTCTGAGAAAACAGTGATCGATTATAATTGAGAATTGGCACATCAGATACGTCCAGGGTTTTTTCCCATAAAAAGAAGACACTTACAGTTTATGAACAAGATGATTCCTGAGATCTGGTGTCACATGCTGATGCCACTCTTTTGGACCACGATTACCACTACCAGTTGAGCTGGAAAAAAGAAAAAACATCAGCTCTTCCCATTTCAGTGAAGACAGAAAACATCTCCATCCTACTCTAACTACAGCTGTTGCCATGGGTAGATGTCTACAGTAGATCCATTAACTCCACTGAATCTTAAAATAAAATGTTTCTTATTTACCTTGTGGCAGTTGAGGGTGTTTCACCGAATGATCTGTTATCTGCTAAAAAAGATAGACCAAAACAAAGCTATTTAATAGTAATCATAGCATGGCTCCTATGCTTTTAAAACTCTTGGTGGAGCTGGAAGTTGGACACAGATGCAATCAACATAAAAACAATACTCCACAAATAGGAGAAACAAATTTGCTCCAAAACAAATAGAAAGCTTGAACTGCAAATTAAAGAGCTAACCTGACATTCCTAGTGCAGAGTCTGATCTCATCATAGAATTAGTAGCTGAAATCAAAAGGAATATGTTCTTACATCACTGCATTGCAAAATTAGCCATTTCACTACAACGAAGATGCAAGAATAGTAATTGAAGGCCTCACATGAAGCATACTTTTTAAGTGTTGATTCCTAAAAGGAAACGTGATGCTGTTTGAAGGAAACCAAACAATATTAAACCTCATGCAACAAGGCAGTCAAATGTTGAATTTGACAATTTTGCGTCAGTGTCTTGCACTCGTTTTGCCGCAGCTTAAGAGCAGCACCAAGAAATTTAGAGTACATATGGGCAGTTTCTTAGGATTGCAACCACAAGTTAAAATATTTCCCATTTTCAGGCCTGCTTATTTTTTATCAAACATAAGTTTTCATGTTTGTCACCATCTCAAAGGTACATGCAGCAATAAAAAAAACGCTCCACTTAGTATTCTACCATTATGGTATAAATGGGAAGATATAATCAACTAAATGTTTCTTACCAAATTGCTGCAATCTTGGCTCTCCATTTCTCAAGGTTAGTCCAAGAGCTTCATAAGCCCTTTCCATTCCTTGAACATTTCCTGTAACTCCTGCTGTAAAAGAAAACCTTTACTTCAGAAATTTTCAAAAGAGCAATAACAGTGGCTTTGGTTTAAAACTAAGCACTAGACAAAACACACCAGTCACCAAAGAGTAGGCGGTAAAAAGAACAAAAATTTGACTGTGCAATTTTCGACACAACAGTGAACAATCTGTAAACAATAAAATCTATTACTTTATATTTAAATAGAACAACAAACAAAAACAATGTGAAAATCAGAGAAAGTGCATTGAGACCACAATATATATATACATTAATATGTACAATACATGTCTGTGTAAGGTAATTATGGGCATACTTCTTGGAAAAAGAAGCACAGTTATTTGTTTCAAATACACAGCTGCAGGTATACAATGCAAAAACAAAACTTACAATCAAAAGCTCACAACCTTCCAAATTTACCCCTGTCCCCTAAGACAAACAAGGCAAGTTGCCAGGGACAACCAGGAACTGCCAGATAAGAGAAAAACCCTGACTAGACTTGCAAAAAACTATTTTTTGGTATTTTTAGAACGTTTTCATGTTTTGAGTACAAAACTACCAATTCCTCTCTTTTGGTATTTATCCTGAAAATGGGCTGCAAGATTATCACAGCGGCTGGGTACTGGCATTTAATGACAATATAGACAATAACAAATACCTCTTCTATTATCAGATGCATGCTTTAGAGGAAGACAAACTGGACAGTCCTGCCTGAGGCAGTTTTTCCAGTGCGAAATGATTTGTCGAGATGAAGCACAATGGGCAACTGCAGGGTCAAAAACAGACACACACTTTTCACTATGTACCACAAAAAAAAAACCTTCATAACTTTAACAATACTTATAATAAGAAATATCATGTATTTTTTAGGTAGTATAGGTACCAATAGTATTGTAAGGATGCAACAATTTGGTAACAATTGGGTAAAGTGGTCAATGTGGTAAATGTAACAATAGTTATGACAAGGATATTATCTCTTTTCTCACAAAAATTCGATGTAGACTAAAAAGAGAAATAACATGTATATAATAATGAAGTCACCAAAACAGTCATGATGTTAAATTATTGAAGTTAGGAGCAAAGACATTATTGACTTACATTATTACCTTATGCAGTGAACTTCATAACAAACAAAGGTATACATAACTCTACCACAAACACACTTAAAAACACTTATTTTCAAACCTTGGCATGTTTTTCCTGCAGTACAAGTTGTCATGTGGTTCAAAACATTTTTCATTGTTCGACAGTGGGGTAAGTTGCAAGGTTTTACAGCACCATTTTGAGCTTGCTGTTCCCGCCTCTGACATTTATGTGCATGGAGCAAAAGAACAAGTTGCTGCTGTATTAATCTTCGTTTCTCTGGGTCAGCTGTAGGAGGCTGAGCCAGTCCTGAGCCAGGCTGTAGGAAAAATAAATCCCCATAAATATTACCCTACTATTTGCCGTCTCATACATATCCCCTTCTACCTTACGTGCATATGAAACAAGATTCCCCATGCGCCGATCTCTCAGGGCAGCTGGATCGTGCACCGGAGTTGGGAAGATTGCTGTCACACTACAACAACAAAAACAATTTTGGTATAATACTTTCTGATAATTAGCAGTTGTTGCAACAGTACACATAGTGAGAGCAAATTAAAGAATAGGCATGCCTAGAGTTATGGCTTTTGGCTTCATCTCATCCAGAATTAAAATGATAATACCAGTGGGCTGTTACAAAAAGTTGGGGGCTGTAGTCTGAGAAAACAGTGATCGATTATAATTGAGAATTGGCACATCAGATACGTCCAGGGTTTTTTCCCATAAAAAGAAGACACTTACAGTTTATGAACAAGATGATTCCTGAGATCTGGTGTCACATGCTGATGCCA